TTTTTTTTTTTTTTTTTTTTTAACGTTTATTTATTTTTGGGACAGAGAGAGACAGAGCATGAACGGGGGAGGGGCAGAGAGAGAGGGAGACACAGAATCGGAAACAGGCTCCAGGCTCTGAGCCATCAGCCCAGAGCCTGACGCGGGGCTCGAACTCACGGACCGCGAGATCGTGACCTGGCTGAAGTCGGACGCCCAACCGACTGCACCACCCAGGCGCCCCATTCCAGTAGCTTTTTAAAAGAATTTTTGGGGGTCACATTCTATAGCAGCAATATTGACTTCGTCTGTAAGCTTCTTGGAAATGCAGAATCCCAGATCCACCCCAATCCTACTAGATTAGAATCTCTGGGGACGGTTTCCAGGAATCTTCATAATCACTCTCTCTCCAGATGATTCTAATGGTCACTAACATGGACATTCTCTGGTCTCCAGAGGTCAGAAGGCTCACCCTAAGATGTCAGAGAAATAAATATGCAGGTTTGGGCATAATGCACTTTATTGTCTTCTCATCTCAGCCATACACTGTCATCCCCGAGATCTCATTCTACAAAAATTATTTAGGAATGTTATCCCAGGACTAGTTTAACATTCAAAAATTGATCAGTGTAAGCCACTGGACCTCCAGACCTCCATGAGCACCAGAGTGCAGAGAACAGAGACAGGCGAATGTTTCTCTTTCTAGATGTTCATTATCCTGGTGCAAAACATCTCAGTAAGTACGTCCTTTCCCCCCTTTCTTTTCCTTCACTTGCCCGGACTTTCATTTTTTCTTCTCACTCTCCCTCCCTCCTTTCATTGCTTTCTTTGGACCTCTATTTTTTCCTGTTTTTCGTCCTGAGGTAGGGAGTGCTTAATTAAATTTAAACACAAAGGAGGACTAAGGATCATGGAAACAGTCTGTCTGTAAAATACTCAAGGTAATCCCAGGGTCCCTGGGTGGTGCAGTGGGTTAAATGGTTAAATGTCTGACTCTTGATCTCATCTCAGTTCATGGTCTCGTGGTTCATGGTCTCGTGGTTCATGGTCTCGTAGTTCATGCATTCGAGCCCCATGCACTGATGGCGTGGAGCCTGCTTGGGATTGTCTCTCCTTCTCTCTGCCCCTCCCCAGCTCGTGCGCTCTTTCTCTCTCTCTCAAAATAAATAAATAAATGTAAAAAAAAATTCTCAAGGTAATCCCAAGTCATCCTGTAACAACAAGTATGTGTGTGAGCACACATCTGGGTACATGTAGAAGGGGGTGGGAGAAACTGGATGATAAACAAAGGATTCATGGTGCCCTCTGGGAAATGGAACCTGGGGCTGGGATTATGGTCTTTCACTTTCTATTACGTGATTGTTTCCACTTCTGAGTGTTTGAATTTCAGTTTAATTATGAATTACTCTAATAAACATAAAAATGTTTTAATGGGATTTTAATGGGATCATGTAATGCCGACATTTTCTTTCTTTCTTCCCTGAGTCATATATTGCAAACATTTTTCTAGGTTGTTTATATCCAATATTGGTAAGTTGCCTTGGAAATGCCCCAACTTGCTTATCTAATATTCTCTTGTTGAATAAACTATCTCTGGTGTTTATCTGTTGTAAACAACAATAGATTTCATAAATGTAATAAAACCAAAGATAAATAGTTGCCAAAATCTATTTTTGTTTTTGTTTGATTGTAACAAAAATTTCCGACATTTAAATTGCCAGATGAGCATTGTGCAGAGATTTAAAGCTTTTTATTCTTATGATTAAATTGTTATCCTCATTATCAGTTTAGCTTTTCACCAGCAGTCTGTGAGCTGCCTTTTTCCCCAAACCCACAATATCGTTGATTTTAGTTAATTAATTAACTATATGCATTGCCAATTAGATAGAAAGTACATACATATGATTATTTCACTTTCTTTTATTACTAATAAAGTTAATTTGGGTTCCATGTTAAATAATCATGATTCTGTCATCTTTTGTAATTTTTTCCTTTACATCTTTTTTCTGATGCTTCTATTGATATGTTCATCTTACTGGTTTGTAATGGTTTATATATGTTGAGAATGTTACCTTCTGTCATTTATGATGACAGGGGTTTTCTTCCCCCCATTTACGACCAGCCTTTTATTTTTATTCAAAGTGGGGGTTTTTTTGACAAGAAGATTTTATTTCATTTATGTATTTACTTTTTGACATAAAGATTTTAAATTCTCGGTTGCAAAATCATGGATGAAACTGGAGTTACGACATAACGTCAGTGAATAGTGAAATAAGCCAGACACGGAAAGAAAAATACTGCCTGATCTCCCATATATGTGGAATCTGTAGAAGGTCAAGGTCAGAGTAGAGAGTAAAATAGTGGT